ATTGTCTCTTGAGACATGGCAGGTGCCAACATGGCATCCATGCACATCTGCTATGGCTGAAGACAGGATGAACGGGTTTAGGGAGAGGTGGATTCTGATCCTACCCCCCCCCCTTGCCATTGTGGACAGGATGAAAGGTGGCAAGAGAGGGCAAAAGCCTTAATCTGCTCTGCAAGGTTTACTTCCATGTCAGTATAACCCTGCTGGATTAGGTTTAAGGTTGGAGAGACCAGCATCCTGTTTTCACAGTTGCCAACTGGCTACATCTAGAAAGCAGGATGTGAGCGCAGCAGGACTCCCCACATGCGATTCCCAGGAATTTGGGAGTATATACTGTATGGACTCTGACAGTGGAGGGAGAACACAGGCATTGATAGGCACAGACTTATCCTCCATGAATTTGTCGAATCTTCTTTTAAAGCCATCCATGTTTGTTGGCCAGGTCCTCTGGCTGGGACGGGACGATATGAGATTGAGGGGGCAACTCCCATCTCTTACGGGGGTGCAATTAGTGCCAGCACCGTCCGTTAAGAGTTTGGGTGTAATCTTTGATAGCTCCCTCTCCATGGAGGCGCAGATTGCAGCTATAACAAAGGCGGCATTTTTTCATCTCCGCCAAGCTAAGCAGTTGGCTCCTTACCTCTCTCGCCCTGACCTAGCCACTGTGATCCACGCGACGGTCACCTCCAGACTGGATTATTGTAACTCGCTCTACGTGGGGCTGCCCTTGAGACTGACCCAGAAACTCCAGCGGGTGCAGAATGCCGCAGCGAGACTCCTTACGGGGTCTTCGCTGCGAGATCACATTCATCCGGTGCTATACCAGCTGCACTGGCTCCCGGTGGAGTACAGGATCAGGTTTAAGGTGCTGGTTTTAACCTTCAAAGCCCTATACGGCCTAGGACCCTCGTACCTACGGGACCGCCTCTCCTGGTATGCCCCACAGAGGAACTTACGGTCTTCAAATAAAAACATCTTGAAGGTCCCAGGCCACAGAGAGGTTAGGCTGGCCTCAACTAGAGCCAGAGCTTTTTCGGTTGCGGCTCCAACCTGGTGGAACGCTCTGTCGCAAGAGACAAGGGCCCTGCAGGACTTGACATCTTTCCGCAGGGCCTGCAAGACAGAGCTGTTCCACCAGGCCTTTGGTCAGGGCGCAGCCTGACTCCCTCCTTTGGCAATCTTTACAAAACTTTAGTTTATGGTTGCCATCAATTTGTATTTTAATTAATTTTTATAATGTTTTTATAATGTTGCATTGTTTTAGTGTTGTTAGCCGCCCTGAGCCCGGCTTCGGCTGGGGAGGGCGGGATATAAATAAATTTATTATTATTATTATTATCTTACAATCATAGAATCAGAATCGTACAGTCCAAAGGGACCCGGAGGGTCATCCAGTCCAGCCCCCTGCAATGCAATATTGTGGGAGCAAATGTGTGAATAAGCTATTTCCTTCTTCTGAAGGCAGCCCTGTTTAGGGAAGTTTTAAATGTTTGATCTTTATGTTTTTAATATCTTGGGGAAGAAATGGAGGCAGTGAGAGATTTTACTTTCTTGGGCTCCATGATCACTGCAGATGGTGACAGCAGTCACAAAATCAAAAGACGCCTGTTTCTTGGGAGAAAAGCAATGGCAAACCTAGACAGCATCTTAAAAAGCAGAGACATCACCTTGCCAACAAAGGTCCAGATTGTTAAAGCTATGGTTTTCCCAGTAGTGATGGTTGGAAGTGAAGCTGGGACTACAATACTGTCTTCAACGTTTTTATTATCATTAATTCATTTCCATATGCCACACTTCTTTAGAATCCTCCATTCCTCTGCACTCTCAAAACTGTCACCCACTTCAACCCTCAGCCTTCATCTGAAAACTCTGAGGAAGGTGGAAATAAAACAATTAATGAAACATGCTTAAGCCTGTCTCACTTATTCACACGCAGATACAAGAGGTCACTAGCTTTGACAGCTTGGGAAAAGATCAGATGCGTTCTCCGGGGAAAAGATCCATTAGCTGTTTTATTATCCTTGACAGAACAACAGAACCGCCATGTGTAGGCACAGTGTACCTTGATTTGAGGCAGGCAAAAATATGCCATTTCCTTGCTAAATGAATCTGATGGACATCATTGCCACAAGATGCGGCGATGGTGGTGGCAAAGAGAGCTTTCAAAGGCGATCAGACCAATTCACAAATAAGGGCGATAGGTTCATCAGTGGCACTGGCAGAGGAGGGGGATCAGGAGGGGCTGTAGAGTAAGAGCCCCCCCCTGCTGCACTGCTCTTCCTCCCCCCCCCGCCTCCCTTCCCTCTCCCCCGTGGGGAGGACCATGGAAGAGGACGGGGCTCCCTGCTGAGGGACAGGGGAGGCAAAAGCCCCAGGTACGCAGCTGATCATGGGATGACTATATGCATCGTCCACCGCGAAGCAGCAGCTGCCTTGGACCCCTCATTCTGCCCCTTGAGCTCAGGACTGAAGGGAGCAGCTCCCCAGGGTCTCCGGCAGGATCCGTGCCAGCCTGAGCCAGAGATGTTTGCCCCTGTGCCCTCCTGCAGATGCCCTGCCCCTCAGCTGCGCCCCTTCCCCTTCCTGCCCGGGTGGGGGGGGCGCCCTGCAGCCTCTGACTCCACTCGGGGCCCGATCCTGCCAGTCCCACGTGCTCTCCTCCTCCTCCCCCCCAACGCCTCCTGCACCTCGGACTCCTCGCTCCGTCCCTGCACCGGAATCCGGCTCCTCTCCGGGGAAACTCGCCAGGCCACGGGCCGCTGCTCCTCCGCTCTCCTCGGCGGGGGACAGGAAAGTGCAGCCGCTCTCGAGTCCCCCTGGCTGGCCCCGTTTCCTGCCTCTCTGAGCATCGGAGCTCGCTGGCTGTGGGTTGGGCCCTGGGAGGCTGCGAGGCTGGATGCGCCCCCTTGCGCTGTCCCTCAAAATTTATTGTATCGTTGGAATCTACCTGGCATCTTCTCGGATATCCAGAATGTTGCACAAATAAGTCTCCTTGTGATCTGATATGGCTTCCTCATCAGTAAATATTTTCAGAAAGCTGGTACGATGCCACCCTGCAGCCATAGCTGTCAACTTTCAGATTTGAAAATAAGGGATCAACAGCCTCACCTCTCCTGGGGACAGTCTACAGGATATCCAACAATCCCGGATAGCAGCGGGAAATGGCTCTGGAATAAGGGAATTTCCCGCAAAAAAAAAAAGGGAAGGTTGACAGCTATGCCTGCAGCCCGAATGGGTAGCTGGAGGAGGCAGTCCAGTTCCCAGCTCTGCTGGTTGGGATCATGCAATCACTTAGCTCCAGCAACCGACCTTTCCAAACCCTCCAACATTTCTCTGATGAAAAT